TCCGACGATCGCATTTGTTTTGTAACAGATCCTGCCGTCATGTCAACTTTGGAAGATTTGCTCAATGGGTCCAAGCGACGTCATGATGGGACGGGTTGTAACTGCTTGCACGGAAGATCTACTTTTCGTTTGGTGGAGGCCTACCAGGTCAAGAATCGGGAGCTGTGGCGACGCTATCAGCGCCATGTGCGAAGCATTGTTGACAAACATAAGCAGCATGGAAGCCAACTCACAGGAATTGATCCACCAGTTGGCGAGGCCTTGACCCAGCTCGCCAAAGACATTCAGGTCGACCTTGCTGGCAATGAGCTTCTGTTGCTCCATGGCACGAGAGAGTTTGACCTTGCAAAAGAGATTGCAAGAGAAGGCTTTGATAATCGAATTGCTAGGTCAGGCGGGCTCTATGGGTCAGGCACATACTTTGCTGCGCAAACATGCAAAAGTGCTCAGTATGCCACCAACATAGGCATGCAAGAGAAAGCATCGGCGCGATTGATGGGGACTATGCTTGTTGCTCGTGTTGCTATCGGAGACCCATACTATACGCCACAGCAATGTCAAAATTTGACACGTGCCTTTGCAAAAATGTATCGTAGCGTGTTTGTTTTTGTTTCCTGATGTGAAGCAACTCATGTTTGGACTCGGAGCCAAATGTTGCCAAGGTCCACCTACAAAGAAACATTGTACGCTATCCAACAGCGGCCAGGACATTCGGTACGATTCCATCATCGCAAAGCCAGGCATTCCAAATGGTCAAAGTACCGGAGTGCAGGCTCACATGGAGTTTGTGACATTTGCTCCGGAGCAAGCTTATCCGGAGTATATTCTTAGATTTACCGAGGAGTAGGTGGTTGTTGGCAGCAAGAGCGGAAACTCAGACTTTTGCCACACTATTGCTTAGGAAAAGATGGCTGCGGCAAGGGCGGGAGCCAAGGTTTAACATGGGAGTGAAATGCAGACAGCAACCACTTGCAACAGATTTTATTAGGGTGCCAAATCAAACCACACCATGGTCAGAATATCGGATGACTGGGAAGATAATAAATCTTGACCATACCCACTGAGCCTACAAAAGAGACCTTTGGAGCCAGAGTTCAATGTTTCTGACGGAAGTTGCGGTGGTTCAGAGAGGCCCCAAGGTCCCCAGAATATCAACCGACGGAGTGGATCAAAAAAACACCCCTTTGGATGTGATGCACTGCCTGATGCTTCTTCTCTTGGCTTCGAGAGTACCTCCTTGTTGCCGATCGCATTTCGCATTGGCCGAGGCATGAGGAGATCACATTTGGACTGCGGCGGTGGGGGCCATAGCGAG